TTTTTCAGAGACTAGAACCCAGCACAAGTCCAATGCTGGCAGGTTAGGCTAGTGCACCTAGATGGACAGATGGTAGCTGTGTGGATTTTTTTGAGAAGTGAGATGCAAATTTTTATGGTTGTAATATTGTGGTCTTTGGCAAATCAGTTCAAAATCAAACCACCTGCTAGCAGCGTGGAAATCAACAACTGTTAAGAGATTTCTGAATGGGAAGGCCCCAAACCTGGCATCTCCTGGCTGTGTGGCAGTGGGATAGCTTTGTGGACAGGAAAGTGTTTTCTCTCCTTTGAACTGTGCTGCAAGAAGACTTGGGCTAGCAGAGTTGCCTTCGCAGTACTGAGGTGCTGCTGGCAGACAGACCCAAGCATTGTGTTGCTGGCTATGACAGAAGGGTGCTCCTCTAATCTCTCTCCTCTTTGGGGAGAGGAGGGAGAGAATTCTTTCAAACAAGCTTCCTGAAATATGATTTTTGTGGTGGTGAAAGAAGGAAAGACTAAGCCAAGAGGCTGCTGTGCCCTAAATCTCTCCCTGCCTCCCCATTTCTTGGACACCTGCAATGGCAACATGCTCTGTAGAGTAGTTTCTGCCTGGGCAGACTTTGACTGCACCAAGATACCAGGGCTGCAGCCTGCACTTTTTAAACTGTGTCTTGTGTTTTTAGCGGCAAACAGTCAATCGCCATCGACGACTGCACTTTCCACCAGTGCGTGAGGCTCAGCAAGTTTGATTCTGAGAGGAGCATCAGCTTCATTCCGCCAGATGGAGAGTTTGAGCTCATGAGGTATTGTGGTGGGGGATGAACAGGCTGGTGTTGGCATCTGCTCGCTGCTACAGGAATGTTGCTGCTCTCAGGCAGCCTTGTAGCCCTTGAGCACTTTGCAAATACACGCTTGCCTTCTTGTTTTCAGAGTGAAATCTGTAGGGCATCCCACAAATCCTTCTGTTCCGAATGTGGTAGAAGCCCAACTGCATGATTTTCTTTGCCACGACTATAGTGTTGGATGTGGCTTTTCTCACCCTTTGGCTTGCTGTATCTGTTTTTTTAGTGCTTAAGACTGGTGTTCTTGAACAGGGTTATTGGCGGGAACCAGATAAAAAACTTGGGACTCAAGAAACCATCACTGCCCTGCAGTAACACTGATCTTACTGCTGCTTCCTTCTGGGATGGCTCCCTTTCTGGCTGATGTTTCTCAGCTGTTCCCCATATGCAGAGGCCATCTCTTTAGAAAAGTGGTACAGTTTGAGGCTGTAAGGGAGTTAAGTCCTCAGAGTTCACTGTTACTTCCATCCATACAGATACCGAACCACTAAGGATATTATCCTTCCCTTCCGTGTGATCCCACTGGTGCGGGAAGTGGGTCGGACCAAGCTGGAAGTGAAGGTGGTGATCAAATCAAATTTCAAACCTTCTTTGCTGGCCCAGAAGATAGAGGTAAGAGAACAATGGTCTCCTGTGCCTAGGAATTGTGCCTCTTCGTTATGTCCCCTGCTGCGAAGTGCTCACACGTGAGTCCTCAAGCTTGAATGAGATCCGAGTCAGCTGCATGCCCCACATGTGCGGTGTTGCTGTGCTGTGGAAGGGAGCTGCTGTAGTGAGGTGGAGGTTGTTTTCGGTTGCACAGCCACCCTGGCAGAGGGCTCGTTCCCTGCAGCAACTGTTCACCTAATGTCTTGGTCCCTGTGAAAAGTTCCTGTTCTTCTCTCTGCATGACCTGATGGTATGGCAGACAGGCAGCAGGTTATGAGCTGTGTCAAGACAGGCTAAAGGTGACTTTGCAGTTTAGTCTCCTAGGAAAGGCTTACTGCTGTAAAGCTAGGCTGTCCAGAGCCTGGTGCAACCAGACCTCCCTGGCCAGCCTAGCATCCTTCCTGAGCTCATCTGCTGGACACTAGCCAGGCTTCCTGCAGCCTGAACTAGCGAGCTCTGCCCCGTTCCTCACTGACTGGTGTGAATTCTGAAAATGTATTTGAACCTTCAAAGCAAAAAGCTGGAGATCTAGCCTACAGTATCTTATGGTAGCCAATGTTTTCTGGGCCCTGAGATGGGGGAGAGAAGACTGAGGGGTTCAGGACAGGTGGCCTTCCCCTGAGACTGCACAGTGTATTCAGGGAGCCGTTTCCTTGGCCCCGCTCACCAGACTCTGCCTTCCAGGTCCGGATCCCAACACCCCTCAACACCAGTGGAGTGCAAGTCATCTGTATGAAGGGGAAGGCAAAGTACAAGGCCAGTGAGAATGCCATTGTCTGGAAGTAAGTGAGCATGTGGGCCTGGGGTGCTGCAGGGCTTGGGGAGATAGAGTTTGGTTAGTGCTCCTGGCTGCCCTGAGCAAGTGTAGTGAAGGGGAGAAATAAGCTCAGGTACTTTCTCACTTCTGGGCTTTCTCTGATAGGATAAAACGTATGGCTGGAATGAAGGAATCCCAGATCAGTGCGGAGATTGAGCTGTTGCCCACCAATGACAAGAAGAAGTGGGCTCGGCCCCCTATCTCCATGAACTTTGAGGTGAGTCTCTGTCTGCCTTCCAGGGTGCAGCTAACCTCAGAAACTTTGTCAGTCCAGTCCCTTCAGCCCTCGTGGGAATTGCACAGGTTGGAGTGCTCACTGTCCCAAGCTGACATGTGACTCTTCCTAACATCAGGCCAGCCAGGTGGCAAAGCTAATGGAAGAAAATGACCCTTAAAGCTACTACAGTCTGTCACTATGCATGCAGGGAGTAGGGAAGAGAACAGGGGCTCTTGGTGTCTGTTTCTAGATGCACATGTACAGAGAGCATCTTACCCCTCTGTTCCAATGCTCTGTTGCCTTTCCCTTTCTCCATAGGTCCCATTTGCGCCCTCTGGGCTGAAGGTGCGCTACCTGAAAGTCTTTGAGCCAAAGCTGAACTACAGTGACCATGATGTGATAAAATGGGTGAGGTACATCGGCAGGAGCGGGATCTACGAGACCAGATGCTAGCCCCAGCAGGCTGGCGGGCTCCCTCTTCTCCAAGCCATCCTCCGCCTCTCCTCAGTCTTCAGCTACGTTCTGAGAAAACATCTGCCTGGCCCCTCTACGCAGATTGGAAGACCCTGTGGCTCACCTTGGGAGCAGACTCGCCTGCCTGTGCTCAGTTACCACCCACGCTGCAGCTGAAGTTCAGAACCCAGTCGCGCGCAGGGGCGCAGTCAGCCTCCTGCTCCCCGTCCCAGGGTGGGGAAGGGCTAGTCTAACTCCCATCCTCTCGTGATCTTTCTAGGGAACGTCCACCATTAAACTCCTCTTCTGTTGGTGTCTCACTACTTGCATCATATCCTAGTATTTTTGAAGTTCTTGTGCATATGTACTCGTAGAATAGACCTAAACATAGACTGGACAAATCTGAGTTGAAGTTACCCTGGCTTCTGTACTAGCTATTGCTGTTGTGGTAGATGTTGCTGGCCAGTCCGAGATGCCTGGGGTGGTGAGTTTGTTGGGCCTCCACCAGAGGAGATGGTGGTCTCACCAGATCTCACCACCACCTTATATTTCTTGCAAAGTCGTCAGTATAGAGTCCTGCCGTGGGAAGGTTTGTGACCAAAAAAGATGAGGGTTTAGGCTCTTGCTGGTGTGTAGGTGGGTGGCACAGCATTTCAGGTCCTTAGAGCACTTACCCCCACCCACCGCTGGCTCGAGCCAGTCTGTCCTTTCCGAACAAATTGGAAATGTGTCCCCTCTGGCCTGGAGAATGCGGGTCAGCTGAGCTCTGTCAGGATGTGAACAGGGTCTGTCCTCGGGGAATCTCAAATGTGGTTGGCAGTAAGAGCCCCCTGCCCCAGCCTGCCCTCTCCACACTTCTACCGAACGCTTCTGGGCCATAGGAATGCTGCTGCTACCCACAATCCTGCTTCTGGTAGTGTGGTCTCCATTTTGTACACTTTGTGATTTGTCCAGCTCTGAATCTAATAAAGTATGTAGAACGGAGAAGGCTACCTGCACTGCTGTTTGGAACTTGCCGTGTCGGAGCCTGGGCTGTGCTCTGGGCCTGTGCTAGGGTGTCTCCAGGCTTCCTTTTGTTGTTTCCCTAGCCCTGGGAACAAGCGAGGCTGTTGTTTCCAGCACTGCCAGCGCTCTGGAATCTCGCATTCCAGCTGCCAGAGCTCCCCCTGGGAAAGGAGGGTGCTCTGAGCTTTCCCCAGGGCTGGCTCACTGACACCTCCAGTGGTCTGCCCTAACCCTTGCTGCCCTCTTGATGAGGTGCAAGGGTTCTCTGCAAGTCTGGCTTTTCTGCCCACGCCTGGCCTAAGTGAACCTTGGTGGCTTTTCCTTGTGAGCAGCTGAAAGAAAAAAACCCACAAAACCAAACCACCAAAAACCGCCCAAAGACGTTTTCCCTTTTGATTTTGGCTTCTGGAGGGTGGGGGCAAACCTTTCCTTGGCTCTCTGACAGTCTTTCACCTGTGGGCAAGGGCCGTGCGCAGACCACAGCGCTCTGTGCCGTAAAGCATTCACCGAACTGCTCTGAGAGCTGGAGCTTTTTATTTCACTTGTTTTAAAGAGGAAAGAAGCGCCCGCCCTCACCGCCGGCGGATGGGGGAGCAGCGCTCTGCCCGGGGGAGG